TGCGTATCACGACGCGCGAAGACCAGCTCGAAGCGTCGATGGCATCAACGTCGCTGACGACGACGACGCCGACGTGGCGCAACCCCTTCGAGCCCGCGCGTCAGCCGTTCGACAGCGAGATGGCGCAGCTCCTCGAGAGCATCCACGCATGCCACATCTCGCGCCCGCAGGCCTGCTGGGACGACCTCCTCGTGCAAATGTCGTCGATCCGGCTTGTGGCGCCGGCCTTCCAGCACGCTGCGCTTGAGTCGACGCTGTCGCGCTTCACGGGGCTCAGCCTCGCCGACTCACGCCACGTCGTGAGTTTGCACGACTACCAGTATTTACACGCCAAGCTCAATACGCTGGCACTCTAACGCTCCTAATCTACTTTCGGCATAGAAAGACAAAACACAGCAGAAACACGATGGGGTTTAGAGTACACAGCGGATGACCGACGACGACCTACGGGTTGGCCGCCGACCAGATGACGTCAAAGAGGACGACAGCGATCTGGATCGCTTGGGCCTGGACGCCCATCTTGGAGGCCATGGCGAGGAAGCTTTGGGCGTGGGCGACCTTGGGGGCTGGCGGCTTGGAGACGGCCTTGGTCGTGGGCACGTCGCCCTTGGCGATCTGGCGTTCGCGGTGGCGCGCGAGGAACTTGCGGACGCCCTTTTGAATGCGGAGGACACCGGCAAACCATTTTTCAAACTCGAGCATGCGCATCGACTTGAGGACAAAGAAGGACCGGCGCAGCGACTCTTCTTCGTGCGAGATCATCATGCCGAGGAACTGGATCGCGACGAGGTAGCACGAGTACTCGGCCCAGAGGTACTCCCACGGGTCGAAGTGCAAGTTGTGCGACGCAAAGAAGATGAAGAGGAGGACCATCGCCCACGAGACGCGCGACGAGTAGACGAACCGGATCTTGAAGCCCGACCGGTGCACCGAGAGGAGCGCGTTGAGGAAGCCCATGAAGTACACGTTGGGCTTGGCCGCGTTCTTCTGCTTGCTCGAGTGGGTGTAGATGTAGCTGCGACCGACCTATAAGAGCAGATGAGCAGCGATGTCGGAGCGAATGTGTACCTGGAGCAGGAGGATCATCATCAAAATCACGTGCAGCGAGATGATAATCGTGAGGAAGATCTGCGCCGACCGCACGTAGCCGCCCTTGGTGTCCACCCAGCGCTCCTTCTGGCCTTCAATTTTCTCCTTGATGCTGCGGTTCTTGGTCAACGGCGCCTTCTTCTTCATGCGCGTTGACGCGTACTTGAAGCCCTTGAAGCTGTCGTCCGACGCCGGCACGTCGTTGACGTCGATCGTGAACTGAGACGACATCTCGGCTTCGGCCGCCGACTTGCGCAAGTACATCTCAAAGTACTTGCGGCCGAGGAGGTACATGAAGTAAAAGCTGAGCAGGTAGAGCGGCACGACGATCGCAAAGCGGATGACAGCCGCCATGCCGTACTCAAACTTGAAGTCCTTCATGAAGAGGAGCTTGATGTCCTGGATGCCCAGGACCACTTGCGAGAGGAAGACGCCGAGGACTGCAAAGCGGATCGTCATGTAGACGTTCTCGTGGATGTCGCCGCGGTTCGGGTTCTCGTACGGGTGCGGGTCGATGAGATACCACATGCGGCAAAAGCACTCTTCCACATCGAGGTTGCGGAAGCTCAAGTTGAACGGGTCCATGAGCCGCTCCTCCGAGTAGCTCTCGCCAAAGAGGTCTAGGGGCTCGTCGTCGTCGAGGCCCGTGAACGGCAGCTTGAGGGCGTAGTTGCGCCGGCGAATGAGCTCCTGGCGGTAGTGCGACACCATACCGCCGATGATCGCAATGCCGTAGTTGATCGTCTGGTAGATGATGTCCGAGATGTTGTCGTACTTCCACGTCTTGCCGTTGCCGTACGGGATCGGGTCCATCCAGTGCAGCGAGACGCCCTGGACGATGAGGTACGTGAAGAAGATGGTCCACCCGAGCACGCAGCTGTGCAGGAAGCGCATGCGCGTGATGCCAAAGATCGGGATGATGAGGATCATGAGCGGCAGCACCGGGCCGGTCTGCGCCTGGACGGGCTTCTTGAAGATGAGCGTCATGGCGACGACGAAGAAGACGGCGAACGTGATGCGCTCGATGCGCTTGTGCATGGACTCGAAGAAGGTGAGGAGGAAGCCAATGAAGAACGCCGGTACCGAGACGCCGAACGAGAGAATGTAGAGCACGAGCCGGTTCGCGTCCGGAAGCTCGCCTTCGGGCAGCGGCGGCGGAATGCCGGCGCGGCGACGGAACAAGTCGAGGTGCGCTTCGTACGCGAGGAGCGCGCCGAGGAAGAGCGACCCGACGATGAACGTGAGGCGCACGCGGACGACGCTTGATTCTTGTACATACGCGAGGTACCCGACCTCGTACTCGGCATCAAACTTGAGCGTGCGCGGGTGCATGCCCACGCGCTCTTGGATAAGGCCAAACTGATGTACAGTGTAGTCCTTGGCCTTCTTGAGCTTGAACGTCTCGGCGAGCGACCGGCCGACCGGCGCCTCGCAGGCCTTGAGGATGAGCGGCGTCGGGTCCTCGACGTAGTTGGC